GTCACTTTATAGATCAAAATGGTTTTTCAGGACAACATGGTTTAGTTTTAGTTAGTACGGCAATGCATTCCTGATAATTTCAGAATTTTTTTACACTTCAAGTTGTGCGTAGCTCCGCTAGGTCAAATATATATTCAAAAACGTGTTCATTAATTTTATACTAGTAGTAATGTCATTAGTTTTGATTGTTTTTGCAATTGTTTTGCAATTGTTTTTACAACTGAATCTGCAAAGTGTTTTCATATCAGTATGTTAAAAAAAAACAAAAAAAAAAGAAATTTCAAAAGTTTCTGATGACAATCAAGAACAAAAAATTCTGGCATCAAGCAAAAAATCTTAGTGGATGATAGTTTGAAAGCTCATATGTGAAAACAAATTTCAAAATTGTTTAGTCGTTTGCCTTGGAAGTTCACGTGGGAACTGAAAATCTTAAACATTAACTCGTAAACTGAATTTTTGAAACCGTTTGAAGTTTTTTCATGGCAAAAGTGCGACCTTCAAATGTTCTATATTGATTAAAATTTTCATCACAAACCTTCATTCAAAAAAAAATTTTTTTTTCATATGAATGATTTGAATTATTAACCGTTGGGTTTTTAAAGCGTATGGTTTGAAATTAAAATTTGCGAAATTGGGAAAGTTGATATCTCCAATTGGGAAAATTTAAAATTGTGCGCTTTGTTACAAAACGATTTGTGCGCTTTGTTACAATAACAACGATTTCTGTTATTAAATTTCTTCGATCTATTTGTTTTTAAATTGATAGGTTAAATAGCTTTCTTTAGTTACCTAGGAATGACTTCAATTGATTACAATTAGAAATTTTTGGAAGTTTACTATCTTCAAGAAATTGATTTTTAGTCCCATGATTATGAACTTGAGCATAAATTCAATAATTTTTCAGTGCTTTTTAAATAAAAAAGGAAAAAAACTTTTGAAATTTTTGAATTTTTTTGAAAAATCATTTGCTGATGGCTCATTGAAAATACATCGCTAAATCAGAACTTAATCAGTGCTCCATCAGCACTGAATTTGGTATTACAGCGCTACTTCATTTCAGATTTGCGAGCTCTTTGAATTCAAATTTTGGAGTTAGTGCTAGTTCAGAGGTGAAATTTTCTATGTTGAAATTTTCTAGTGAATATGTAGCACTAAGTTGTCTATCACTTTTTTGCTAAAATTTCCATCGCAAATTTCAATTAGGCCTCAATCCGGGACAATAAATTAGTTTTTACATGCAACACTTGATAAAGGATCTTGATCAAATCGATTGAATTGGTTTTCTCAATTTTTCGAAAAACTATTAAGTTGCAGTTAATCTGCTGACAATTTTTAAAACATTTATCAACTTTTGCAAACGTGTAGTAAGGTTTTCGAAATAATGAGACCATAAAGCTCAACTTGGAGCATTTTTGGGAAAACCTGAACAAATTTTGCGTGTTCTCACCTCGCTCCATTCAGAGTGAGTTGGATTCAGCGCAAATGGTCAATTTGCAGCTACAAAAAAATTTAAAAAGCTTATACATAAAGATATAGAAAATTCAGATAAACTGCATTTCATTTTTATAATCATCGTATGACTTTGAAAAAAGTTGATAAAGAGATTTTTCCATTGTAAAATATATACGTTGAAGAGTTTTTGTAGAGTTTTTATAACAGTTTTTATACATACAACTAGCAGATTTCAAAGTTATTGAAAACAATATTTTGAAATTACATTTTTAAGGAGCAGAGTGCTTACTGACTTTCATCATCATAGACTATCAACTGCTACAAGTAGTTTGAGAAAATATTATCACAAGCTATTCAATTGTTTTTTGTTTTTTTTTCTTTACAAACTAAAACATTACGAGGCCTGTTTTGGGAAATGTAAGTGGATTCCGCAGCAAACATACAGAAACAAAATTGGGCGCCTATCCAGTGCGCAGTTTGGCCTCGCAATCAAAATCTATTAAAATAAATTGTATCCTCATGTTTTGCAGCAGAAAGCAAAGTTTCAAAATCAAATCGTTTTATTTACAAGTTTTATACAAGAACAAATACATTGTTTTGGCGTTAAAGTACTTATTTTGTTACTGCGGCCCAATGAAAGATTTAATGGTTGTTCAGTCGACAGACAGAAGTCGCAGAAATAATTGAAAGATGTGTTCAAGCGGTCAAATTTCAGTGAGGTTGTGTATTTCCATATCGTTGAAGCCGCAAATACACGTTACAAAAATTACACAGCTGCTAATTTTCTCTCATTCTTCTCTCTTTCTATCTCTCTCTCTTCTCTCTCTCTCTCTCACTCTCTCTCTTCTCTCTCTCTCACTCTCTCTCTCTCTCTCTCTCTCTCTCTCTTCTCTGATATATATATATAGGGCCTCTCTTCTCTCCTCTCTCTTCTCTCTCCTCTCTCCGATGGCAAAATGCCCCAGTTTTGCCACAAAGAGTCTTTTGGTCATCGCGAACTTTTGCCCTTCTTGGATTGGTCTTCAGTCGGCAATAGCAAATAAAATGTCACAAACTTTGTACACATAAAACGTTTTTTTTCCGAATTTGTTTTTGTTACTTTTGAATGCAGTTCAGTACGAAGTCTGAGTGAGCAATGATCGCTTTGTTTTTAAGTTCAGCTATTTCTGTTCTTGAGCAAGCGTTCAAATTGGCTTAAGATTTTTTGGAAGGGTTGCATGAAAATTGCTGGTGGGCATTCTGACAGATTTTTTCTTCCCTGGCATTTGAGCAAACAATTTGTTCTATTTGTTTTTTCACGCGATTGATGAATTATTTTTAAAAGACTGATGCTGAATTGAGTTGATTGCTTTATTTCGATTTGTTGTGATGAATAATTTCAAAAATTCTTCAAATTGGCGCGGTAGAGAACAATTTTGCGGTGAACAATAATGTGAGAAAGTTAGTCAAGTTGTCAATTCAAATGTTAATTGACATGTTATTTTAAATTTGTAGAGTTTTTTTTATCAAAAGCGAAAATCATAAGATTGCGGTTATTGATAAGCTTCATGTGGTCAATTTTTCCGAAAAATTTGTTGGCTAACATTTTTTTAAAAGCAATTAATTCAAAATCTTGTTCACATGTTTTTGTTCCTGACAAAGTGTTAGAATTAGAAAATGAGAGACAGCGTTTGAATTACAATGAAAATTTGAATTGTAGGCCATTTGGAAAAAATTTTATTTTTATGCCATTTGGGAAGTTACCTTTTTTGTATTCATTTTCTTTCAGAGTTGCGATCAAAGCTTGTTGATGAAACTACCAAGTTAACTTCTCTTCAGTTTGTTGTTCCACTTATTTAAGGCTTGATTTGTACATTTTTTCTAGTTTGCCCTCCTGATTATCCACGCTTAGTTAGGGTACGACCATCGGTGATGTTTTTTTTTTGCGGTCCAGTGACTTAACCACACCCTCTTTGGCTTTAATAGTTATCACTATGAAGCCTGAAACTTCTCATTTTTCAATCAGATTGATGGTATATCTTAGTTAGCCGTGTTCGAGAAAAACAACTGCCGCTGAAATTCGATTTAATTGACTGCACCACGTTAGAAACTTGAAATGCCAAATTTAATTTGCGTAAATCACATTCGAAAGGGATAACTAATTAAGTCTAATCTGAGATCTAAAACAGAGAACTTAACCACTGTCTAGACTGGCGATTTAAAGATTGGTTGAGCTTAAGTTTTGTAAAAATTCTATTAAGATTGAATTCGGTTAAGGTTAAAAATTAAGGTTGAAATTCGTTGTACATTGTGTTAGCTAATGTCTAGATCAATCACCCGATAATCAAAGTCTTTGGCCTGTACTTGAAATTATAATAATATGTAAGAAATTTAATCGTAACTCTTAAGGTGTGTGTAAAAATCAAACACATGAACTCTCAGCAAGTTCTCCTCAAAGATTTGACTTTCCGACGGCCAATAGGTACTAACTGCGGGCTAAAAATTTTTTTGTTCGACCCAAATGTGATGAGGGCTCATTTGGCGCCGATCTATTTTTGAGTAAATTTTGTTTTGGTTGAAACGTAGGTGGTCAATAAAGTTACAAAGCGGCATTTTTGTCACAACTTTGGCAGACGTATGTAATTTTGCTCAAATTTGGCATTTTTGAGCTTAGGAGATTTCAAACTTTGTCTTTGCGCAACCCAAGCATGTAAGTTCAACAAAATATTCACTTTTTGAAAAATCCACAAATCATACACTCTCGCGAGCAAAACTCGGGATCTTTTAGAGTCGTCTTGGGATCTTTTGCAAGGTTACAGACCTTACTGTAAGGTGTATGGGATCTTTTTGGTTTTTGAGATCTTTTTGATTTTTGGGATTTTTGGTTTTAGGGATCATTTCGGTTTTTCGGATCTTTTTTGTCTGTTGGGATCTTTTTGGCTTTTGAAATCTTTTTGGGAAGTTTTTGGGATTTTTTTGTTATTTGGGATTTTTTGTTGCGATTCATGCAGCCTACTGCTTTGAACGAAACCCCTCTTCCGCGAAAGTACATTTAAAAGTTATTTGGGATTCATCGAACATACTCCGATGAAGTCAAACAGTATCGACTGGGGGGTCCTATTAAAGAAGTCCCGACAAGGAGTCCCAGCAGGAGGTCAAGTTCTAAGTTCCCCCTTGAGAATTCGACCCTGATGTGAGAATTTTTGACCACTTTTAGTTTGTGATAAACATGTAATTTATCGGAATATTGAAGCACATGTAGTTTTGTCTGAATCAGTAGACGACTTAAAAAATTCAGGCGGTAACTTTTTGTTATTAATACTTTTTTATTGTCATCGATGTTAATTTCGGGTTACTTGAGCAAACAAGTGATTTGTGTTGGTCGGTATATATTTCTTAGTTGTCTCAGAACTACAAGAACAAAAATAATGTGTAAAAGCATAATAACATCTATAATGCAAAATAGTTGCTAAGCATTTGATACATTTTTGAGCTTTACTTTTTAGTCGTTTAATTGTATTCTTTTCTTCTTTCTGTTGTTGGTTAATACAGCTGTTTTTGCTCAAAATCAACACAGTTGTTATCAAATTAAAAATAAAACTTTTTCAGCTGCAGTTTTTCAGTTTTTCGCTGTTCGATTTTTTTTACACGTGAGGCACATTTTTGGTTAACTGTGTATGCATTTTGGTTTGATAAACGCGGTCTAATTTTTGAGTTTCTGTGTGAATTATTAATATAGTTTTAGTCTGCTACATCTTTTGTAGAAGAGTAGAGCAGATTTGTTTTATTTTGACTACAAATCCAAAGGTGAATATGAATTTATGGCTTCCGTACGATTAAGATACACTTTTTTGATGAAAAAAAAAATCCACGTTCAGTTAAGAAAATTTTCAAAAAATTGCCCTCCCTTTTCGATAAGAAACACAAAAACCAAAATAGTATTGGGGTGACCTTGAAAGGAGAAATACTGGGTGGCAGGGGCGGATCTAGGTTATTCTCGAGCGCCGGGGGGGGGGGGGGGGGGGGGGTTGTTGGTCGACCAAATTGATTTTTCGAGCTTTCCCAAAATTTTAAGAGCTGACCCCATTTTAATCAAATTTTCTGCTCCGCAAACTGTTTTTGAAAAAACAGGCCAAAAAGCAAGTTTTAGGCTTGTTTTTTTTAAACCAAAAAATTGCGTTTTTTCGGAGACCGCTTCCCATTAAAGTTAGTATAAATTGCGTCGAAGGTTCCTTTAGAAAAACTTTGGCGTCGCTCAACCAAAACTGGATGCCTTAAAATAGTACCATAGGGGGGACACTTTGGGCCGGTAATGGGGCACTTGTGAAAGGAATAAAAATGTCCAACCCAACCCCCACCCCTTAAATAAGCATCTGGATGTCACAAATCTTGAGCTTATCGAAACCTTGAATAGCATAATTTTGCATTCACACTCCTTTACAGCCACTGATGATTTTTAACTGTATATCTCTTCATCAAAAAGATTTATTTTTTATTACGCTGCAAAATTTGCAGGACATAATTTGACATTTGAAAGTACCATTACACTGCCTTAAATTCTCTGACAGATTATTAAACTGCAAAGGTAATTTTAGCTAAAAATTCTCTTATTAGGTTGGTTTTCTGAAAAAAAAGAAGTAAAATGATAAAGCGGGAGCATAATTTTTCTTTTTTCCGTGCAAGAAACAACCTATGTTCACCTGTCCGCAAAAAAAAACAATGAATTCATAGAACTTCTTAGATATAATTTATATGTTTAATAGCTCAGAGTAATCCTTATTTTGGAAACATATGCTAGACAAAACCAACAACAGATTCAGATTTAATCTTTTTAGTTCATTTTTCTTCTACTGCACAGTTAAAATTTCTAGGCCAGAAAAAACTGCGGTTAAGTTGACATAATCCCGAGTACTTAAAGTCATTCAGAATACATATAACTGTAATTCGAGGATTTAGAAAAACGTTACGAATTATTGAAAATATTTTTCAAATCTGCATATAGTTGTTTTTAGTTCCTTGTGATTGTTTTGATAACTCAACTTTTCGGACAAATTAAAATTTTTTTTCGAAAATTTCATGTTTTGATAAAAATTGATTATTTGTTGAATTGATTAAAAAATAATTAAAGCATAATCATGGCGGTTACTCTTGTAAAAAGCGCGCCTTCTAGTCGAAAAACGTCCGCGACTTATTCGACTTCCAGTGATAAATCTAATGGATTTACTAGACAATCAAGCGCTTCGGAACAATTAGACCAATCGAGACGAAGTCTCTCTTTCGGCCGCGTGGCCACACTTGCCGCGAGTCAGTGTACAGACTTGGCTGCTTTCAGGCGTCTGTTGGACGAAGAGCAATTAAGCAGAATGATGAAACAACCGCAGCAGCAACAGATGGGCGGAGGTCCTGCTCTGTCGATGAGGGGGGCTATGCCGCCTATGCAGCATACATTACCGATGACTCATAGGTCAGTTGAAGCTCATTTTATGATTTTTTTAAATAGGAGATCAATCGGTCATTGGAACCAACTCAAAACTTTGATTCTCAAAAACGGACAGAAAAACTTACGAAAGTCGCAAATTTTTAAGACTCTGTGAAGTGAAGCGTCTTTCATTGGAAGAGGGGTGAAAAGTTTAGGCTAGCCATTCGAGATTTCCGAGTCAAAACCGTAATTATGAGAAAAAAATTACGTTTGAGCACTTTTTTGCTAATTTAACACCAAAAAGATCATTTTGACAACTAACACTTCAGTGTAGATTGGAAACCACAGAGCTCCAGAAACATGGTCGCTGGTCAACCAAAGATATTTGTTGCTTGGAGTGGGTTCGGCGAACGGCTTAAAAAAGTCCTAAAGATATTTTTGGCATGTTTTAAAAGTATTTCGCCGGCGGCTGGGATCAGATTCAGTGGGTAGAGGTCTTTACTAAGCGATTCGCATTCGATTTCTTGACTACCCAAAGCCTCCCCCTTTGGTACTTCTTTGAATCGACAACTTTTAGCTGATCCCCTTAAAATTTTACTATTTTTCTAGAAAAAATTTGGGCGCCAATGTACATTTATTTTTAGGGGGAGCACGCGCCGGATTGATGTTTTTGGTCAGAACTTTGAAAAAAGGCTAAGACTTCGTATTTGGCCGGTTGTTTTTTTTTTCAAAAACGTGCCTGCGGTCAATTCAGTCGAAAAAATGTTTTCCAGACGAGAACAACCTAGCGCCCATGTGAACAGATTCTCTCTCAATAGACCAAGTGAAACATCTCCCCTTTAAACTTAATTGAAAAATTCAAACAGTAAGGCCTGCTTGTACTATGCTTAAATGTGATTGGCTAAAAAAAATACTTTTGACCAAGTGAATTATCTCCTCCCTAAATTAATTTAGGGGGAAGATTGTTCACTTGGTCTCATCTTAGATCCTAAGTACTGTGGCAAACAAAATTCTGCAGATAAAACAAATTCCTTTTAACCCCCCCCCCCCCCCCTCCTCTCGAGAAAGTCGAAGAATCGCCCCATATATGCGGTAAATGGGACCTTAAGCTGTGCATCACTACAATTTCCTCGAGTTCAAACTTTTCTTAAAGTTTGAACTGTTAATTTTGGAATCTGATAAGTTTTAGAGTAAATCTCATTTATTTTTCTTTGTTCAGGTCCCAATACGGGGGTGCCTCAAAAGGAAGACTGGGCGCTTACAGTGCAGTGGGTGGGGGATCATTCGCGCCCTCTCTCTCCTCATCTTCGTTTTTCACCCGACACAACCCCCACCCGAATAGAGTGAGACACATGCAGGGCTTGTTGAATGTCCCCATCTGCCATGTGTCGGATGATGGGTTCCAGCCACCACAGAGACCCCTAATGACTCCCGAAAGAAGGTAATTTGAAGAAGAATATAAATATTTGGGTCTTATAAGATTGCTGCTGGAGAAGAAGGTTTGAAACCTTTTATCCACAAGGGAAAAAATTGGCATACGAGTTGCTCATCTCATCACGGAGAACCGCTGTTGTGCACCTGCTTAAGAACAACTACATGCAAACATTTTTTGGGCTGGGTAATGTTGTCTTACCCGCAAACAACGGTCTTTTTTGTTATACGGCTCAAAATAATCAGGTTGTTAATGGAGTTTCTGCTTTTAATGAGAAATTGCAAATTAATTTACGAGAGATTTATATTTAATCCATCAGATTTGAGCATTTGGAGCAAATTTTTCAAACTAGAAAATGAGCAGTTTTGGGCCGTATAACAGAAAAATGTCTAAGCTTTATATTGTGTAACATAGTCCGAGAAAACTGTAACTATAAGAAGCTTAATTACCTGTGACTACCAAATTGAAAAATGATGATTAATGTTAACAGTAATCGTATATTTGTGGTTTTCGCAACTCGTAGAGGAAAATAGTCAGTTTCTACTATTTTTCGACATTCCAGATTGAGATATTTTGTTGAGTGATACCCCTATTCTTGAAATTTAATTCCGTTTTTTTTTGCATATAGAGCTTTCCTATAATTCACTATTACAGCCGAAATCGGTCAATCTGTTGTAGACCTGAGGCTAGAGGTCAAGTTAGAACTCATTCTCACTCAGTATCCTTTTCCTGGCAGCGGATCGAATACATAATCTGAAAAACACAAAGTGAACTCATTACCTCATTTACCTTATTATTATCTGAACTCTCAAATTTTTGAATGAGCAGATCTCTCTAATTATTCCCCCTTTTAATTTTATTAGGGAAAATTTTTTCAATTGATGTGTTTCAAGTGCATTTGTTTATCCGACCATTGAAAAAAGGGAGAAATTTTTTATTCGGATGTGTTTTAAGTTTAATTAATTTTTCAAAGGACTGTCCCAAAGTCAAGAAAACAGTTTTTGAAATGTTTGGAGAGTTAGTCTATTTACGAGCCAATAACGCGATAAAAAAACGTTCCTTATTGGAGTTTTGATTTTTTTTTAGATTTTAGCGAAAAAAACTTGATTTTATTTTAAAGAAAATTGGATGTTTCGTTTTGCGCTAATTTGGCAAAAAAGTTTTTTTATCAAAAACTTTATATTTAGAAACAAATCTGACAATTGCTGTTACATTTTTTTTCATCAATTTTTTCGAGACAAAAGTTTGTCTATCTTGCCTGTTTCGCTAATTTTGTTACGCGATCGTAAAATTATCAAATCACATTACTTACTAATTGACACTATCTGAAGAAAAATGAAAAAAAAATATTTTTTCTGTTCTTTTTATGAATATAATCGGAACATTCTGTGCTATTTGCACAACAACCGGCAATCCTTGTTTTTATTCGAGAATAGATATTCATTTATCACATCATAAACTCATTTTTGTAAGAGTTGAGCAATTCTACAATTGAAAACTAGATTTTTTTTGAAGGTTACCTTGACTATATACTTGCTGCTATAACTAGCAAAAATCACAGTTCAATCGATCTCTGTATTAAAATAACAGAAAAATATGGATAAAAAAATTGCAAAAAAAAACTTTGTTTTTTTTTGTTTCTGAGTTTCAAGTTGTTTGTTTGTTTTTATATCATTTTAATCTTAACAACATACCATACCTAAATTCATATTAACCGGCTATGCTTGTGTATTGCATCTCTGATTCAAATGACAGAAAAAAATTCAGCTGTTTGGGTAGGCTTCAACTGTAAGCCCTAACTAAAAAAAACTTGATTTTGGATTGATTAAATCCACGTTACATCATTTTTTGGTCAATGTAAACTGAATAAAAGGTGAAAATTGAAGTTCAAAATGATTCAAATCTACCTTATAAAATGAGCTTCACTTTCACTTCTTCAAAAACAAATTAAATTTGTTCAGTGGACGTTATCAGTTTTTAATTTGTCTCCGAAACTAATGTACAACAATATAGATGTTACCAAATTTTGTTCTAAAAAGCCTAAAGTGGTTGATCTTTTTTTGGAGAAGTATATTCAGTGGTACTAGAATTTAGCAACCTTAAATTGTATAAAAAATGTAATCGTTCCTCTTGTGATGTTTTGTTAAATGCTCCAGGTCTATTTTTGCTCCAGGTCGATCCAGATGGCGTACAAAGGTGGTTTTGGGTCGTCAGCGGCCTCTGCTGCTCAATTCCCCATCTACCCCACCAACTCATATGGGATAGAACAGAGAGACGTCTTTCACACCAAAGGAGTGCCCTTCAGAAAAGGTAAGCAAAACATATCAATCGGCACTTCAACCATTCCAGTTGTATCAATTTTTTGAATCGGTCATTGTTTCTTACTAGGCGCTTATATGGCAGATTGTCTACAAGAAGATCTGACGAGCTCTCCAAATTTCTAATAGGTTTCTAAATAGGTTTACTTAATAGTTTTATAGAAATATTGTTTGGTGGGCTCTAAAGGGTGCAATGTTTGGCATTCCTGCTTAACTAAAACTTATAATAAAAAAAATTGAGGCTGTTAAGTTCTTGAAAACTATCTTCCATAAAATTGAATTTTAAAAAATACATCCACTTAATAAGCTTATCCAACTGTTAGACATCAGAGCCCTGAGTTAACCCATATGATGTTTTTAGTGCCAATGTTGCCCCGTTGGTTCGAGGAGCTGAAAGATATTGGGAATAGAGCGGGACTGGAACCTTCACTTGCCCTGGAACAACAGCAGCCCCAGAGGGCTTCCTACTCCAAAACCACAGGTGGGAAAACTAGCCAAAAATCGAAAACCTATAGTAAATATCGCCAAGGTTGACAAATGATAATGAAACCTGCACAGGTATGAGAGTGAGAAAAATTGCCTATAGATATAAGCAAACCTCCTCAACTAAATTTTGATAGTAAATTTTGCGAGCCTTATTGTGAAAAAATTTTTTGCATAAAGAACTGTGAAAAAAATTATTGTGAAGTTTTTTTGCATAAATATGGGGTAAAATTTTACATCAGTTTAATGACCTTAATCAAAATATAGTCGATTGCTTGGTCTCGACTCTATAAGCTTTGATTCTTTTGATTTGAGTGCCCTCATCACTGTAAAACAAAAAGAATTTCAGCAAATGTTTTCCGCATTTTTTTCCACTAAAACCACCTTTATTTCATGGAGATTGTAATAACTTCGTAAAATTTAAAATATCGGTTCTAAACGATTCAAAGACGACTTGAACTAATTTTAACTTATTGGCACTAACTATTATCATGTTTTATTTCAAGTCGACTTTTACTTGATTACGAACAATATTTTAAGGAGAAAGTTACAGAATCTGCATGAAATCAGTTTGTATTGTTCCGAATTTCAAAGAGAACGGAAAGTTTTAGCTTGAGGTGATTTTTTATTCAGTCAAATTCTACAATCGAAGTTATTATATTCTACAAAAAAAAGTTATACTCCATTGAAAATATCGACTCCTTGATTAAAAAAATGAAAAATTATATACTTTATTTTATCAATTGTTTTTTGCAATGTTCTGGGAGTTGAAAATAGCCAATTTGGACATGCTCTGGGCCAATTTTTGGTCGCCTTGAAGATTTTTTCATAATGCTGGATGCGTAACGCGAATTTTTTATTCGTGGCAAATTATCTCGCACAAAAAAATTGTTACAAATTGAATTGAGGCTGGCTAACTAGTCGTAATACTTTTGTACGGCTAATTTTATACACTTGATCTTCGATATTGTTCTAAATTTATAGTTCTACATTTTTTTAAAAACCACCATCTGTTCGAGATCAATTAAAGGGTAGTCAGAGCAGTCAGGGCTTTGCCATAACATGGGAGCAGTCTTGTGATTATCAATGCACTCGTTAGGCTAGGTCTTTTACAAACCGATTCATAACCAGACCACAAAACAATAAATCAACTAAAATGCTAATTTTAAACAAAGCTTTAACAAGTAAAGTGGCTAAATCAGTGTAGAATTGCTTCGAGAAAGCGCAATTTTTTTTTCACTTCACCGTTATAAACGGCGAAATTACATCTAGAAATCAGACTTGTTCATCAGGTTTGGCAATATATATGCTTTAGATTTTGTGTAAAATTTAATGTCTGGTAAAAGGTCGTCCCCCAGCTGAAACTATCCATTTTCAAAACGACTTCAAATCAATTGGAATTTTTGCTTTTCAATTTTTACTGCGTCAAGTTTGGGATTTTTTGGATTTTGTATTAAAATTAAATAAAAAATAATTGAATTAAACGTTTTTTTGGTAGTTGTGAACGCATATCTTCAAATAATTTACACATTTTTGATGTGTGAATCGATCGACTAATTTTAGTAAATTACAAAGAAAATCATAAACTATGTTTTTCAAGTGTTTTCCGGAGAAGGTGATTGAGCTATAAACTGACTGTAAAAAACTGGTAAGCAAATTTCGTGCAGCAAAAACTATCGTTCCAAGGTTTTTCTCTGTTGATTCGCTTAGCAAAATTATAATTAAAAAATTGAGCTTAAAAACAGCTTTTGAAGAAAATCTGCTTTAATTATTTTTTTTATCCGCAGAAACTTTTTTTCAGTGCAAAGTCTTCAAGTGGTTTTCAGTAACTAATCTTTTGTGGTAGGCAGCTCTTCTTTGATGACTGTAGCTCACTTTAACACTGACTGAGGTTTTTTTGCTCTATTTTTGTAAAATTAACAGTTGAATTTAGCATTAATTCGACGGAATTATTTTTGTGAAAATCAATTTAAATGGACCATATTTTAAAATTTTTTCTGTGCGGATAATCACATTAGGTTGTTTAGAAGCAACGCAAAAATAGTTCATCAACAATTTTTCGGGTTTTTCACATAAAAACCCCAGTAAAGTATACATCTTCTCAATAGTAGTTTACTACAAATTGACAATGCGGCGGTTATCTGTTATGTTTGTTACTGAGCCTGGGAGTGTAGTGGGACGTTTCATAATCGCCCCCTTAATTCTCGTTTCGTTACAAGGTCGTTTGAACGAGGCACCCTCACGTGCCATGAGCAGAAGTGGCCCCCAATCGAGACAGGGGAGGATGACCCCCTCTCAGAGCAGGATGGGCATGTTCACTGGGGGCATCAACAAACAGCCGGACCACGAGGCTTTGGTAAGTATTACAAGTCAACGGAGAAAATTGTATGATCGATAATACGATTTTCACTTCAACGCAGGGGCCAATCCAGGGTTTTTTGAAGGGAGCGTTGGATGGATTTTTTCCAAAGGCAGATTTTGACTTTTTTTGACTTTTTTGATCGACTAAATAAATTTGGCTAGCTCTTCCAAAACGAAATGAAGATCCGATGTTCGTTACGTTTTCAAAAAGCGGGTTAAACAGTGGCGTTTGATTGCATTATTTCAAAAACTTAAAGATAGTTTGGTCAAAAATGAATTTGATAAAACCTTACTTTCTACATGCGCAAAAGAAAGCTGTTTGTGGTCAGGTTTTAAAACTAATTTGATTGAAACAAGTTAGCGAGTTTTTTTTTCAACAAAGGTGAAACAGTTATACTTCGCTAGTGACATGTTTTAATAAAAAATCAAAGCAAAAGCTAATCTTAGTCTTATTCGAATTATGCGTGTTGTTTTGATTCTTTTTTATCATTGTAGCTATTCTGTTATCATTTCTGTTTAGGTCATGGAGTGTCTGGCTCAAATATTGAACACAGACTCTATCTCTGGCATCCAACAGTGGCTAGTGTCCGCCGACCAGAGGGGTCAGTCTAATTTAGCGTTTTTCCAAGATCGAGTTTTTTTATTGTTACCAGTAGTTATGTAAATATCAATTGAGTCTGTTCTTTTTTAAAAATAGAATTTTTTGTTTATTTTCTTATACTAAACAGGGTTGATAAAAATGGTTAAGGCTAAGCTATACAAACAAAATTGAGAAAATAAATAGATTTTTTTCCTTTTTTTATTTAATTTGTTTTTGAAAAAGCAGAACCCTGTTCATTGACTTTAAAATGTGGTCAGAATGTACAGTGATTTACTTTGATACGACAAAAAAAAACGTTTTTTTTTTGCTTTTTTTATTCCTAAATCCTAACTCGCACTGAAGTTAAAAAACTTATCAAATGTTTATGATTTAATAGCCGAATTTTATGGAAAAAAAGATATTTCTCAAAACTGTGAGCTTTGAACCTTCACAAAATAAAAAAAACGACTGGTTAGGTTGTGTGATTTATCAAGTCTTGAAACAGAAATTGGATCAAACTTCAACTGGCATGCGCACTATTTACACCATTAAATGATGTTGTTTCTTTTCGTTGTAGAAAAAGACTTGGTGGCTGATATGATAAGAGCAGCACTGCAGAGTGAACAGCAGCAGAGTATGAATGAGTACAGCCAACAGCAGCCACTCTACGATGAATTCCTGGACAACAAGGCCACCAAACCAGCACAAGGCACACAGGCACAGGTGAGATAGATCATGCACGGAAATATAGGATTAGAAAAAAAGCACAGCACGTAGTACAAGATAATCCGATAGCCATAGTCGTAAGCGCAGATAAAGCAGCTCAAAATTATAAAATCAAGCTTTTTCAAGATAAACAGACAACAAATTTTGATTTTGTTTTTCTTTGTTTTTTTAAAATAATATGCCAGCCTGTTCTTTAATTTGCAGCAATTTTTCACGGGTCAAATAAGTTATACGGCCCGCAGCCACCAGTTATCTATTAGACTTCTGTTTTAAAGATTTTTCTAGCTGAAATTAACCAATCGCATTTCATTATCGTGTTTTGAAAAAAAAAGAAGAAAATTTGCTAAAATTTTTGATGTCCCAATATTTTCAAACGCAGTGTTTGATATGGGTTTGAAAAGCAAAAGTTTCAGACAAGTTTTTAAAGGAATTAGGACTTTCGTTAAATTTGAGAAAGCCTAAAATTGGGCTAACCTAAAATCTCTTGATAATTTCTTTTTTCAATTAGTTCCTGTAGAAAATGCTGAAAAGTTGCAACAACAAGGATAACAAAAAATCGCAACACAATTTAACTATGACTGAGATATGAAACCAAAATATGAATAGAAATTTTCTCACAAATGCTGACCATACGTGGCCGCATACTAAAAACTGGCATGGCAGAACATAACTAGAGAACGCTAACTGCCAGTATTCTCCGACAAAACTTTTCAGGCTAATATCAAACCTTTGTAGCAGGTTTTTTTTAAATAAATTGCTTAAAACATTTACAAGACCTGCCGCTCTCAGTAAAAAGATACCGCACTCAGCACTCAATATTGGTAGTCTAGCTCTATGAAATTCAAAAGTGATTTTAGTCGAATAAAACTGGATTAAATTGTTAATTTTTTTTTTCTAAATTAGTTAAACTCATTCTAATCGGTTATAATGAATTCTATTTGATTCTAATCCGTTTTCTAATAAAATTTTTTTTGAAATACAATTGGTTAGAAACGATATATTTTCTTACACATTTTCAGTTTTTTTGCTTCTAAGTTGCTCAAAGGTAAGGCGTTTTATAGACATTGAGTAAGAAAAACAGTTGGAAAACTATTTCAGCACTTAAAAAAATCAACTCAACTATATAGCTTTTTGTTCCGACTTTCGATACGAAAGTAACGGAATACTTGTTCTCGTGGTGGGTTTTTTTTTCTTCAGACAAATTTGGACTTTTTAACTAGCCATTTTTGACGGAATTTTTTTATATCATTCGAAAGCTATCGTTGTCCTAAGCTTAAATATGAAAAAAATTCACCTGTGATCTTTTTTCGTAAAGTTATGAGAGTTTAAAGATTACCATTTTGGCTAATTTGGGACAATTAACTCGCGATATATTTCGCGCTATTAACGCGTAAGCGAAGATTTAATCCGTCTTAGAAATCGTTCCAAATTGGTTGAAAGAAGCTTATTTGCCATATTTAATTTGTTACAAGGAGCGATAATTATCTTTTGAACTTTATATGGCGTGTGGGGTAATGGTTTTCATAAAAATTTTCAAATTTTAGAAATTTTTTTTTTCATTTTATTTTATTTCATTTAATTTTATAATTTTATTACTGCTACATATACCTTAAAAGGCAGTCGGAACATTCAGGGCTTTGCCCTGATACTACCAGTCTTGTTCCTTTTTGTCTCCAACAAAATTTGTTTATGATGCAAAATGTTTTGTTTTCTTTTGGCCAAACTCATGTCACCATAATGTGTTACTTTGATTACTAATTTGACTTATTCAGCTTAAACTATTTTCAATTTTACCAATTTTATCAATTTTCATGAAAGAAACTGTATCAGGTTTTTGTTTCGCGTTCAGTGCAACTTAAAGAAAGCAAGACATCTCACGTATGGAGATGTCAGAAAATAAGGTCCTCTTTAAGATCCATTTGTGTTGTGATACAATTTTGATAAAAAATAACAATGTATTATAACTAATTTAGGATTTTTCTACAAAAATATAATTGATTGGTTGATTACAATCTATTTCAATTTTTTGAAATTTTTTGGTTATTATAATGTTTTATTATAAAGTTTTGCTCTTGTAGTTTAATAATTATATTTTTTTTATAAAAGTACATCCAAAAATAAAATTTAATCAATTTTTTCTTTTTCTTCTGAGTGCGGGCTGTTTCGTTCGAATAATTACAGTTAAAAGCCTGATAACTAAAATATGCAGTTGTTCACTTCAACTCCATATTTTAACATTTCTTTTAACTGTTTCTGCAAAATATTTATTGACGCTTAACTGACGCCTAATAGACTCAAATAAAAATCCGCTCTATATCGACAAAAAGCTGGATAGGCCACATGATTATTGGCTTCATAATATTGGCTAGATCGCGCTGATTTCTTCAAATTTGCTCAGGCTCAAGTTTGATTTTTCGCAGTTGAACTTTTGATTTCTTTTCAAGATCAATTATTTATTTACTCAATTGAAACAAATGAAGAAAAAACTGATAAGCAGGGAAACTCTGAAAAATAAACAAATTAACCTAAAGTTTGCGAAAAAAATGGATTTTTTGGGAATGTTTGTGTCACTTCTGCTTAGCAATTCAAAAAATTTATAGAAAACAGTTTTCAAATAACATTAGAAAATGCAGACCTTCAATCTTAAAATTCATCCACAGCTATTGTTGGTCCAGTTCGACTTTCTTTTGAGCTGTTTCGGCACTGCAATAAAGAATCTAATTTGATTTGAAATGACCTGCAGTTAAATTAATGCTCCTACCGAAAGAATGAAAATTGATGCAAGAATATTTCCACGCTTAAAAAGAAAACTAAGTGCGTTTTAAGGTATGCTTTAAAAGGTTTTGGGTTTGTTTCTCAGGTTGACAGGCTAGTGGTAGCAGGAATGGATGAACAACACCAACAGCAGCAGGAATTGCAGCCAGAGCAGCCACAGCAACAGATGGGGCAGGCAGCTGGTAGTATGGATGCCCAGCAGATGGGGAATCAGCAGAGCAAATTGCCAGACATTAATCAGCCCAGAACACAGTCCAGGTATTTAAAGACACGAACAAAGCTAGCAAGGCTTCCATTGCAAGGCTCCCCCCTGTGAATAAAGAATGGAACGGTTAAACTTATACAAATTTTTACTTGGTACCGAATCCATCCCTTTGTAACAAGATCGACAGCTTGTTTTGACTGTTTTGTCTGCCATAAGGGCTGATTTGGTTTTAAATGTGATAAATTTGACCGTAATTTCTGATCAAATAGTATAATTTCGAGAAGAAGAAACTTCATCCTCGTATCAGACTTGATATGTTGGCGGCTGAAAAAGGTCGTACCAGCCTGGGTTCCAATTTGAATTGAAATAACCATAATAACTCAAAGCTCTCATCTGAATTAAAAGCTTGATTCCAATAAGGATCCCACGTAAAAAGAGACTTTTTTTTGGAGACTGTCTTTTTTTCTACGGACATCCACCCTATGAACAACCAAAGGGCTCTTTGAATGACCAAAGCATCGAAGTCTTCAATGAGTTTTTTAGGCTCTATTCTTGTATAAATTTTAAGAACCCTAGCATAATTTAAGAACCCTGACACTGTCTTTTGTAAGAGATTGCAAATTTTTTTTTTGGTTATCAAAAAAGTTGCGTTTTGCAGATTGTCGGACCACATCAAAATGCAGAACCAGGTCAACTCACAGTCACTCAGATTCGAGCAGCAGCCAGCTCTGCAACCACTCACAGAGAACGATCTAGGTTAGTCGGAGAAAAATTGCTTCTCCGATATTAGGGCTCACTGAAACGTACCAAAAAACAATTAAACCGGATAATTATTACACATATTTTCTGACTGTTCCTAAGCTTCTATCCCAAAACAATACTTTAATCAAATTTTGTAAAAAAAACAAACTGTAAGCCTCCCAAGTCTTTGATATCTATCTTTGAAAACTCTTGAAGACTCTTAGTTAAATCCTTAAGAAAACCTTGGCTGTCTGGGCAATTTGCTGCCAAAGAATCTTGGAATATATCAATGATTCTTCAAGAAATTTATTAGAATCTTGAAAAAAAAATAGCAAAAAATTTTTTAAAAGATTTTTGACGATTTGCGAAGAAGATGAGCAATTTCTTTAAAATTTCCAAGATCGATTTCAAAAAAAAGTTCGGTCTTCTCATTGAAAAATAATCTAAGAATTTCTGAATTTTTTTTTTAATCTCCAGAGCTCGCTGTTTTAAAAATTGAAAAATATTTGTGCGCAAAAAAAAAACTCAGTTTCTTAGCATGCTTTAGTTTTGACTCTTAAAACTGCAAATTTCTCCCAACGCAAGACTTATTTCTTTTGCTTACCTTGTGATCAAATTCCAGCATCAGAACCAAAATAAATCGATCAGAATGAAGAATTTTTTACACCAAAAAAATTACTTTTAAAATTATTCTAAAACCATTTTTTTTATAATTTAACCTTTTTTTATTTTTTAAATGTGTTTGAGAGAAATTTGAATATGAGATTGCTCATCAATTTGTCATGAAACTTTTTTTCCAGACATCTTTGAAGATCTTGAAGAGATTGTTAGAAAAATCTTGAAAAATCTCAAAGATCTTTTCAATTATGCACCAAACATCAAATTCCGGAACCATCTTACACATTTCTGAGGATGTTTTCAAGTAGTTTGGACCCATAGCTACTTATCGTTGTTCGTTTGGAAAAAACCGGAAGTATTTTAAAGTTTTTTGCTATCTTTGATGAATCTTCAAGAACTTTCAAGATTTTCGCAAGATTTTCAAGATGACTGGACCTGGGCAAAAAAATTATCTGTGAAATCGCCCCTTTGTACTGAAGCTTTTCTTTTTCGCGGGGGATAATTGGTTTGATTGTTCTAGAATATGTCGAATATCATAACCAGAACAACATGAATGACTGCTGATTAACACACCAAGATAAGAAAGTGAGAAGAAAGTCAACCAATTGCAAAAAACGAACAGCGATACCTATATTTTGAACGATAATTTTCAGAAGAGTTTTAGAAATCTTGTGCTTGGCGGAAATCAAACTTGTTAGGATCTTTTGAAATGTTCAACGAAGATATCAACTCGACCTGCAAACCGAAGTTGAAGAGAACTGCTTTCCCAAAGTGCTTATCTACTGCAACTGCAAGCTCTGTTCTAATCTGTCAAAGTTTTAGTTGTTTTCGATGATGCTCACTTGCTGACGTTTGAAAATTAAATTTGAAGTATCTAATATAATCTAATCGGATACTAAATTTACAATTCCAGTGGCCTACATGCAGCAAACTGTCACCTACCCATTGCACAGTTTGGCCTCGTAATGAACACAAAACAAGCTCTAATTTTTTTTATGATAGTAGTAACCATCAAAGATCTTAATCGCATATATATACTTTTCAAAATGTCAGCAACTGAATACCCTAATAATTACATTTCTATGCTATTATCAATGAGAAATGTTTTCTAGCACTTACAACAGCATTGTCATTTGAGAGTTCATTGCCAATTCATTAGTAATTTTTCTCTGATTATTCAGTGATAAAAAAGAAAGAAGATTAAAAAGCAACAAGACTGCTGGTATAACAAGGCGAAGCCTTGAATGTTCCGACTGCATTTAGGGCCAATTAAAATTTCTTTTTGATTGAATAATTGACAAAATAAATGAGAAAAAAAGTTATTTCATTTTTTTTTTCATTTTATCCCTCCACACCCTATGTAAAGTACTAAGGGTGTGTTAAGCGCAGGGGCGGATTTAGGGGGGGGGGGGGCGGACGCCCCCCCCCCCCTCAGGGATTCGACCCCCTGCCGACCCAAAGGGTCCCCCCTTTGATACTTTTTCAGAAATCCGTTTTTGGCCGACCGACCCTAAAATTTTTCTAAAGGCGCCTTCGGCGCCAATATATACTAAATTTGAGGGGGTGCGCGCGCCAAAAAAAACGCGAAAAAAACGCAAAATTTTTCAAAAAGTGCCCAAAAACGGCTTTTTTGACTGTTTTTTAAAAAATTTGCCTGCGGCGCAGAAAATTTTGTCAAAATAGGGGCAAAACAGTGCTTTGGGAGAGCTCGAAAAATCAATTTGGTCGACCTAAAAAAAAAAAAAAAGGTCGTCAAAATTTTGGAAAATTTTGTGAAAATCCGCCCCCCCCTCGAGAAAATCCTAGATCCGCCCCTGGTTAAGCGTCTCGTATTGTGTAAAGACGATTAAAAGGCTGGCCTCATTGTTCCGACTTTCGATACGAAAGTAACGGAATATTTGTGCTCGGGGTGGGTTTTTTTTTCTTCAGAGAAATTTCGACTTTTTAACTAACCTTTTTTGACGGAATTTTTTAATATCATTCGAAAGCTATTGTTGTTCTGAGCTTAAATTTGAAGGTATATTTCACCTGTGATCATTTTTTGTAAAGTTATGAGGGTTCAAAATTTGCCATTTTGATATATTGCGCGCTATTAACGCGTAAGCGGAGAGTTAATCCGTCTTAGAAATCGTTCCAAATTGGTTTAACGAAGCTTATTTGCCATAATTGATGTGTTACAAGTAGCAAAATCTATCATTTTATACTTTATATGGCGTGTGGGGGGATGATTTTTATAAAAAATTTCAAATTTTTGAAAAAAAAATTTTCATTTTGTTTTATTACTTTTAATTTTTTAATGATATTACTCCATAAACCTTAATGGGCAGTCGGAACATTCAGATCTTCGTCCTGATGCGAGCAGTCTTTTTTCAATTTGAAACGCATAAATCGCTGCTAACGCGTCTTTTAAGAACGCAATATATTGCGCGTTAATTGTCTCAAATTGGCCAATTTAGCAATTTTCAAACTACGGTAACTTCAGGAAAAATGATCGCAAAAACATCTTTTTACGTTGAGCTCAGGACAACAATGTTTTTCAGATGGTACAAAACGCTTGCCTATATTCCGTCAAAAACGCTTAGTCAAAAAATCAAAAATTGACTGAACAAAAAAGTCACACAAAGCATATAGATATTCCACACTTTCTCCGAAAGTCGAAACAATTATGTTGCAATTATGGAAGAACCCAGTTACGAAAATGACATATTGCTATACTGAACGGAAGCTTCAGCGGTTGTCATCTGACCGTCATTTTATTAAACGCTAAAACATCGTCATTTTATGTATATGGGGTTGCCTTTTTTTTTTTAAATATTCAAAGTTTTTGGGTTTTTATCTGTTACACGTTCTCTTGGAATTTTGTGGGTTGGGTGTATACTATCAAAACTGCTCTTTTTTCTTTTCTGGTTGTTGGATTGCTTTTCCGACTATTATTTGGTCGTCTTTCTAACTTTGTAGGAATTTTTTTTGGCATCGGCTGAGAATTTACTGTTGAGAAAAGTCCGTAATTTTCTCCAAAGAGTATAAAAGCAACACCTTTTAGTCAAAATACTCTGACTTTTATTGCAAAAATGTTGATTATTCACTGATTTGGTAAGGAAAATTTACTTTGAAAAATTAAACTTGTTAACGTTTCTAGGCACTTTTTGGAAAAATTTTGACCATAACATTGCGTTTTTTTTGGCGCGCGCTCCACCGTTAAAATTTTTATATTTTCCACCGAAGGCGCCTTTAGAAAACTTTTAGAGTCAGTCAGCTAAAAATGGGTATCTCATATTAGTACAAATGGGGGATTCATTGGGTCAGCAGGGGTCAACTCACTGAGAAGAAGCGTTCCTCCCTAAATCCGCTACTGCGTAGTGGGGCTATCCTAAAATGAATGACTTTATCTTTCAAGTGGACTTTGTCAATTTTCTTTGTTGATGATATATCTTGTGAACGATATCTGGGATAGTTTCGGCTCTTTTTCCTTTTCTCCCCACCTTTAAAATTTTTGCAATAAAATTTTTTTTTTCACATTGTTCGATTGTTATGAAGATTGACATACGGACTGATTAGGCTATAACAAACATATTTGTTTCTCATAACAAAACTTGTAAAATCACTCGTTATAACATAAAATTCATGTGTGAGGTGGGGGAAAAGGAAAAAGGGCCATTGTTTCTATCTATATACACTTTTTCAATGTCCTAAATAACCCATGGTATTCTTTTGTGTATATGTGAAAAATAAATGGCTGCCATAGCAGCAATTTTTCAAAGATTTGCATATTGAAGTACAAAAATCTCAAATGGTAATTTTAAAATTTTTCTGTACGAAAACAATGTTCTATGTTGGACTTTTGGTGGTAATGAAAATTCCTTTTTAACGAAAGCCGATGTTTATGCTCCTGGTTACGGCTCGGTATTTTAAGGTAATTTCGACATGTTAAAGTGGTTGTTTTACAATATGGCTGTGCTCGAGATGATATGTATCCACAAAACGTAAGCCGGTTTGGAATAATGTAGAATGTGCGTATTCTCTGACAACTTTCGCTGTCTTCATAATAATTTGGGGACGATGTTTTTTGCATGCAAATGTGAGAGCAAAGAAGGTATTTTTTTCATTTCGACGAAAACTGAGGAATTAGAAAGAAATTTTAAAATGTTAATTGAATCACTGGTGCTCGCTTGTTTTTCAATCGAAAACCATTATTTGGTACGTCTTTTTTAAAAAGACAATTTACGTTTTGATCAGCAACTGCTTCGCAATGGAAATATTCGTTTTCTGTACACTAAATCGTAAGATAAACTTTCCTGCGCTCCATTTAGGGTTTTAATTTACCATGGAAGTATTGTTTTACTTAGATGTGTTAGGTCATCAAATACTAAAATCAGTTATGATGAAAGTTACTGATTATAATAATAGTTTGAGTCAGGGGCGGAATCAGGGGGGGGGGGCTCCTCAGGGATTTGACCCTTTGCCGACCCAAAGGGTCCCCCTTTCTACTTTTTTGATTTATCCATAGTCGGTGACGGACCCTAAAAATTTTCCGAAGGCTCCTTCGGCGCCAATATATTTTAATTTTGAGGGGAAAGCGCGCGCCGAAAAAAGCAATTTTTCGGTCAAATTTTTCCATTTACGAGGCCAAACTGTGCACTGGATAGGAGCACAATATTGTGTCTGTATGTTCCTGGATTCCAAAGACAAGTCTTTAAACATGTGAAAATTTTGTCGGAACGATCAAAGGAAAGTAAAGAACAAAAGACCCGGGTTGACCTCCATACATCGAAAATGCTTATCATACAATTCCATACAACAAAAATCATTATCATACAAATGTATACATAAAGTGTATGGAGAAAATGCTTGTTATACAATTTTCAAATATTTTCGAAAAAGAATAGAAAAAAAATTAAACCATTTCTGCGGCTTTTTGAGAACAGTTGAACAGACTGGTGGCCAAAAAAATTGATTTATTTTTTTTTGAAAAAAAGTTTTCTATACAATTTCAATATACGAAAATTGTATGACTGGCATTTTTTCATGGCGACATTAAAATTTTGAAAAAATTTGCCCGAAATATTTTTTTGGTTTTTTCAACCGCAAATCCAATTTTGTACGCAAAAAAAAACATTTTCCGAAAAAAAAATTTTCGCACGAAAAATTTATTTTTTTTGTGTGCATAATGTTGTCCTGGATACGATAGCATTGGCTTTTTTTTCTTTTCACTTAAACTTTTTTTTCAAAACACTGAAAATTCCTATTTGTTTTGTCTTTTGTATGGCGTGTTTATGTATGCCTTGATCAACGGCTGATAATTTGAAAAATCAAGAATTTAAAATAACCATCATTGAAAACATTTGACAAAAATTAAAAGTTTGTTTCTTTTGTTATATCATTTGTGAAAGACAGCTGGAAGACAATTCAGGTCGTTTTTTACGCATTGTAAATGTAGGACCGTCTAAACTTTGGTGCTTTGAGTAACCAAGGTCTTTGTCACTTGTGTTCGGTTGCAAACCCAACCCAAAACTTTTCAGAAATCAAATTTAGAAGCAAAAAAACAACTTTTATGTTTATGGAGAAAACACCTATTATACCATTTCCCTTTATGAGAAAATGTTTATTATAGAGAGTTCATACAATTTTCTGTACGTATGGATTTGTATGGAGCTGTATGAAAAAAAGTTTACCATTTATGACAACTGTTTGTTAAGCATTTTTGTCAACCAGGGAAGAACAAAGGGAGCCTCCTTGTTGCGGAATCTGCTTACAATGCACAAAATGCACAGTTTGGCCTCGTAATGCCAAAAAGTGCATAGAAACGCCTTTTTTGACCTGTTTTTTTCTTCAAAATCTTGCCATCGGCCCAGTAATATTGGCCAAAACAGGGACTTTTTAGTGTTTTGGGAGAGCTCGAAATTTTTTGGGCGACAAAATTTCCGAAACTTTTTAAAAATCCGCCCCCCCCCCCCCCCTCGAGAGAATCCTAGATCCACCATTGGTTTGAGTAACTAATTTTTTTCTTTTCCTTGATGTCAAGCTGTAACATGCGTTCAAGATTGTTTTCATTAAACTAATCCTGATTGAATCTTTTTTTTTTCACTTGAAAAGTGTTTTTTTTTTCTTTCGTGACGTTACCGCTTCACGTTTACCCTGATAAGGGTTGTTGAATGATCTTGCGTTGGCACTGATTCAAATTGATGTTTTTGAGTTATTGCATATGACTGTAAAGTTTTTGCTATTATTCATCACAGTCATAGTTAGTTGTTGATGATCTTGTGATCCAATTTTCGAGCATTTTCAAAACATAAATGTTGTTTATATGCAGGGGTGGATTTAGGGAGG